TAGCCCCGCCGACCGTGACCTCGCATTGTCGGCCCGTGTTCATCTTGGGGTCAGTAATGACTACAAGATCCCTTTCTGCCTCCGTGCTCTCAAGAAGGGAGTTTCCCATCTTATAAGTGTGCTGCTGGTTTCTACTGCCCAAGTGCAGCACCCTGCACTTGTCAGTATTGAAACGCATCCTGTTTTTGTTAGCCCACCCCTGCAACCTATCCGGGTCTTGCTGCAGTCTGGTGCAGTAATGGCAGTTACTGCGTAGTCCTTTAGTACTTGCTAAAGCAAGTACTAAAGGACTGCGCAGTAACAAATGCACAGTTGGGGGCACGTATAGACGCTTCCACTATGTTCATGTGAGAATGCTAGAAACTAGGGCTGTGCGAAGCTTCAGTCCCTGATTTGATTTGGCTCGATTCAGTGGCTGAATCTCCAAATCCGAATTGAATCAGAGGATCCTTTAATCTCTCTGAACTGAATTGTAACGCTCCAAATCAGTTCGGAGAGATTCAGAATGATTTGGCAATTCAGACATAGACACAGCTTTAAGTGTTTTTTTCTATATACCTCTAGGTACCAGGCGGCTCGTGAATGCTGTGATGCTGGGACACATGGAGTGTCCTACAGGAGCACAGGGGGCTCCCCACTGTGTTGTCAGCATACCCCGGAAGTAGACCAGAAGCACTTACGAGTCTGCCAGGGAGTGCACAGAGGACCCCCCCCTGTGCCCCCCTGGCTCAGCGAGTGGTGCCTCCTGGGTCTGGGGGGGCACCTGGGGTCCCCTCGCATGCAATTGCCAAGCTGGGTGGGGGGGACGGACGGGGGGAGGGGCACGGGGAGGCCCCCTCAGCATGCTCTCAGGTAGACCCAGAAGTGGACCAGAAATACTTCCGGTCCACTTCCAGGTTCGCTGCTGAACGTGTGCCCCCCCACCCCACACACGCTCCTGTGGGATGCTCCATCTACCCGAGTGTCACAGCAGCGTTCACAAGCTGCACTGGTACCTCGAGGTATGTAGAAAAAACATTTAAAGCTGCATCTGCGTCCGAATCACTGATTCTCCAAATTGGCATCGAATCGGGGACAGTGATCTGAATCAATTAATTGAATCACTGTCTCCGATTGGAACCAAATCCGAATCGAATAGGGCCCGCTTTGCACACCCCTACTAGAAACATTCCCTGTAATGCCTTTCTGCCTGCATGAAGGTGTATGTGCACAAAATTCAGTTTCTCAATTCTTTACACAAAAGTACCCTAAATATGCTATAGAGAAGAGAGGAATTAAGAGGCATAGGTGAGAGACTCTTTTCCAGTAATTAATTTTAACTATTACTTTATAACAGCAAACTGCAAAATATAGTTTTGTTTCTAAACAATCCTTTTGTGCATATCCTCACTTGGTTTGGGTAACCTAATGCTTAGGTAAGTGAGACTGCATGGTAGCATTCTGTCATAATTGCATCTCTTAGATTCCCAAAAATACACGATATTGCAGAAGTTAGTGCATATTTTTTGCATAAGTTATTAATTACTTCACACCAAAAATAAGTGTCAAAAAATGTTTGTATTTAGGCAGGTTTAATACACATGGTAAAGTATTCATCTACCTAGCTTCTTCAAAAAAAACCCCTAAAAAACAAAAACAAAACCTGTTACTGTAAAGCAGTCTCTTAGCTTTTTTTACATGATAAAATTGTAATGTATTTTACATATTGTAACATATTCATAAAATGGTTTTGCAGAATTGGGGGTGTACTCTTAAATCAACTTTTTTGTTTGTTTGATGGACTTCTAGCATGTGACGTATTCTAGCATTTCTGGATTGTGTTCCTCCCCTTCTCCCCTCCCAGGCTTTTATGCTTTGTGTCTGTTCTGTACTTAAATTCTTAAAGAAGGATATAAAGTATGAAGGTATGAAAGTTTCCAGTACCCTAGCCAGTACTGTTTTGCTTGCGGAGAGGTATGTGTGGCTTGCATTTTTATTCTGTCTATGCACAAAAAAATCCTCACTTAGTAGAATGAAACACTTGGTAGTATAACAGTTAACAGTTCTTTTACTTGTTCCCTTTTCTCCAAGTGGAATTCAATATAAAGTTTGTTTTTGTAAAGAAACCTCAACCAGTCATCCTGACTTGTCATTGGAACACACCTGAACTAATGAGGGAAAATAAGGATTTGGGTTCACGTTTTATATAGTTGTAGCATGGGACCCTTAACTGTAAGTGATGTACCTTATCTCTTGGTTTGTTTGTTTTTTTTTGGTTTTAGTTGCTCTTCTGCAACGGGTAGCAGAATTGGAAAAAGTCAATGCTGAATTTCTGCGCACAAAGCAGCAACTTGAGCAAGAATTTAATCAAAAGAGGGCAAAATTTAAAGAGTTATACTTGGCTAAAGAAGGTAAGTTCTGAGTTCTCCGAATTATTTTAAAGATTTATTAATTGAACTTTAAGTCTCTAATAACCAACCTTCTTTTCTCTTTTATCTGGAGATAGGGAAATAAGGTTTTAAAGGAACACACTTTTTATATTGACGATGATATTGTTGGCTGTTCAGCCAGATTAGTGATATGGGTCTGATGGTTCTTATTAGCCGAGAGAGAATGCATTTTCCTGCCAGTGTTTTAGTGGCAGGTATAAATAAGAAAGTGAGCAGAAGGGAAAGGAGAGAATCCTAACCACTGTCTGTTAACCTAATTAGCATTTCAGACCTTATTAACCATTCTTGTTGGTAAACCTATTGAGAATCATACGTAACTTAATCTTCAAACAATTCTTTCTGTAGAAATCTTGATGGCTGTCAAAGCAGTTGAAATGCACATAACATTCCAAACTGTCCTATTCATTGCATGAAATAAGATAATAGTGATCCTCCATTTTTTTTCATTTTTTTTATCACATGGATGATGTTGTGATAGTATCTGCCAGACAACTGTGTCCTAGTGATAACTACAGCAATTCTTCCTATGGTAGCTTAATGTTAGGAAAATATTTGATTAATCTTAAATTTCTGCTAACAGGTTAGGTCTTCAACACTGCTCCTCCTTTTAATGCAGCAATAAGTATTAGTGGAAACAGTTGTGTATCTGTTACACAACTGTTTCCAAGCATTGCTGTATCTGTTACAGCAATGTATCCAAGCATTTTTACAAACATCCAGGTCACTCAAGGCATACCTCCATAACTTTTGTGAATTAAGTGGCACCCAATTTGGTACCCAATTTATAGACTACAGTGCTTGCCCTTTTGCACTGGGGATGGGGGATTCTCCAGGCAAGTGACCTGATATCCTGGTTGAGAATTGCTGATCTAGGCTTTTCTTTGCTGCATGGGCGACTGGTGCCACCTTAGTCGGGGGGGCACGTGCCCCTCCAGTGATCAGCCAGCGACCGGGGTGGGGAGGCATGTCCCCCCGCAGCTGGCCGCGCCAACCAGGAAGCGACTGCAGCGGCACTTCCCACTCCCCGGCTGGTGCTCTCAGGGAAGGCAGCAGTGCTCTTGCCTGCCCCCCCTCCCATCGCCGAAGTGGGGAGTGCGGCCTGTCAGGGTGCACCAGTGCTCTCAGGGGGCACACGTATACCCCCATGCACCCCCTACACATCACCACTGCGTTGCTGCTTACAGTCTTAATCACGGTAAAAGCAGCAGCTAGGAGAAAGGAGATAATACCCAATAATTTATGACCTGCGTTGTGGTGCTGAGCAGCCCTGATATGCTGGTGCCCTGCCCATGCCATTGCCTTTTACTTCCCAACCACAACCCCCCCCACCCCTGCTGGTGCCCCTCATTCCCCGCCCACAACTCCCTAGGCACATGGGGAGCATAGCCCTCCCAGAAGTGCTCGCAATGGTGGGGAGCCAGCCTGCCCCCCCAGATAAGCCGCCCATGGCTCCGTCCCACTCCCCACACAAGTCCTGCATCCGTGCTTTCCAGCCCTGGGCCCCAAGCCCCACGCACCATCCCGGGTGGGCAATAGCCCCAGCCCCAATCCTGCCCAGCTACCTTCCACCTTCACTATGGGGGCCTCAGTCGTGTTTCCCCCCACCATGACTTGTCTGCAGGAGCTGCTTTCCAGGCTGCCTGTCGGCCATGTGCATATGTACGCGTGCAAACTTATTTCCTGTGCTTTTCTCCTTAAAATCAGAAAAGGTGTTTTTTACTGCGATTTTTCCATGGCGAATGTAAAACCCGGATGCCTGGTAATCAGTAGCTTGGTATCATGTTATTACGTGGTATTCAGTAGTGTTTTACATTTTGAATGAATGCTCAATCTGAAGTGAAATGTAAGCAGCTAAACTTAGTAGTTTAAATTTGATGGCTAAGGGCAATTTTATATAATAATGCTCTTTAAAAACAATTAGGACTCAACTAGCTCATAACTGAAGACTGGAGAAAGGCATTTGGTTTCTATTTTAAGAGCAAAATTGATTTTATTTTTTAATTTAAACAGTCTTCCTGTCCTTAAAATAGGCAAATGAAGCCAGAAAATGCTGCTGCAGAAGTGCAGCTTTTTACATGCTTATAAGATCAGAAGTATGCAGATAAGACTTTCAAGGGTGGCTAATTCTGCAGTTTTTTTAGGAGTTGGATCGAGAGAAATGACAATGTAAATATTGGACACTGCTGGAGAAGGCTCAACAACATCTTCACCCTTTCCCAAACTAAAACAACTAGAAATGAATGGTTTCTGTGCCTGCATAAATACCAGGAAGGGGAAGGAGTGGGGGGCAAAGAAAAACCTAATCTGGATAGATAACTTTGCTATTTCAAAGCATTTGTCTTGAGGATCCTTGTATAGCATGTTCATTTCTACATATGTCTAGACTTTAGGTTAATGAGTCTTGACCTAGATTGGGTCATTTGGACACTGTCAGAATACAAATGACAACAGATCTTACAGCTTTCTTATAGGATTTAACTGTCTGTGTTAGAGGCATTTTACAAGTGTTGGGTATTTTTATTGCCATTTTATAAATGAGGAAATTAAGCCAATGAGAGAAGTGTGTACTAGAGCCAGAAATAGAATGCATCTCTTAGCTCCCTGTCCGATGCTGTGACCTCAAGACTATACTTCTTACCAGGTTTGGCTGCTTGTTAGTTTCCATTTCGCTAATTGAATCATTGTGTTAAGTTTGTAGCTGTGTTGTAGCTCTGGAGTGGGAGAAAAACGAAAATTAAAGCTCAGTGTCAGAGAAGATTTGGTTGTTTGGACGTGTTGCATTCTCATTTACATGATTTTGCTGTCACCATGGAGAGGTGCAGCATATAGCTGGCTGGTGTTAAAAATTTTACTGCAAACAGGCTGCCTCTACACATGCGCTTAAACTGTTGAGTAGACTAATTAGCTGCCAAGTAAAGCATCATCACTTACGTGTGCAGCAGTATTAGGCTGCAGTAAACTAATTAACACAGCAGTAAGATAGTTGGGGACAGTACTGTCTTCCGCTGGGGTAATTTACTATGATTTAAATGCACGTGTAGACACTGCAGGCGTAAGTTCCGCCCTGTCAGCCCAGCCAGTTGGGGGCCAGTTGGGGGCTCCTACCTGCCACCTAGCCACACAGCTCCATGCTTTCAGCACCCTCATGCCCTAGCCAGCCCTTCCACTGCCTGACACTGCCGCTAGGAACCTGAGGCTGACCCCCGTGCTACCTGCCAACCTGGGCCTGCTCAAATTGCTGCTGTGTCAGACGTATGTGTAGACTCTGTGCCCAAGAGTAGTTTACTCCAGCTTAAACGGCTCCAGAGTTTATTGCTTCACATTTAATTGCACATGTAGACGCACCCACATAGTGTAGACCATGACTTGGCAGAATGATATTCCGTAGGCTATGTTCCTTTCTACACTGGCTGCAAAAATGCATTTAATATGTTGCAGACCTTTCCTTTTTAAGGTTGTAGTATTCATTAGAAAGTTAGACTGAACGCTGCATAGTGTATGCCTTATTAGTTTGACATTATTGCAGTATGCTTTTAAATGTCTTTTTTAAGGAATATGAAATTATATACATTTAAATTAAGCATACTGGAAAAAATTTTAACACATCTTTGTGTAGTTTAACTAGCTCTATGATGCAATTTCATGAAACATGAACGTTCAGGAATTATTAGTCTTCTAGATTTTTTTTTTTAATGAAATAAAGATTAATTAGCCCTAAAGAGAAAAGCAGGGTTGAAAAACATGGAAATAGCAAAACAATAAAAAATGATAATAGATGCGTAAACCTAAAACTAGGTATTGAAATTAAAGTTGTAAATAGCTACTTTTCTGTCCTTTTTTTCCTATAGAGTGTAACAGCCAAGGGCCTTGGACTCTGTATACAGAACGTGTCTTAGTTTTTGTAAAGTTTTTGGATTCTGTGGCACTTCGTAGCAGAACAAGTTTTGCACCTCCTTCCTGTAGATTAAATATAGAGGTTAATAATGAACTAAGATAAGTATGCTGATCCCTTGTTTATTTTGCTTACATTTATAGCAACCCAGCAGCTGCAACATACTGAAAAGTTAACAGGACAAAAACCTATATCGGACTATTCAGATGTCAGTTTGAGCAGGTGGATAGCTTGAACATTTTCGGCACTGTGGCAGAAAAGGAAAGGCTGTCGGGCATTATAGGATACATACACTAGCTGGAGGTTTCTGCTAAAATGATCAACAGTGAAACAGTTGATGCTGCTTAATTCTTCTTGAGAGTAAATCTTTCGTTTAGATAAATGGTGTAATTGATACCTTGCCATAGCTCTTGGTTTAGGTCAGGGGTGGGCAAAATACAGCCCGTGGACCAAATCTGGCCACCAGCTGATTGGATTCAGCCCATAGGCAGGCACCCACCAGTTAATTGTATCCACCCCATCTGTGGCTGCCCCTGCTGTGCTCTGCCTGTGGATGAGTCCTGCCTGGGGCAGAGCATGCTGTGCTCCCAACCTCCACTGCCAGCAGGCCAAGCTTCTGAGCAGGGCTTCTGTTGATGCCACTGCCCAGGGAAACTGCTGGGCTCCCCCAGCCTCCAGCAACTCCTCTTTCTGTCCCTGCTGCAGTGCTCCGGGCAGCAGATAGGGAGGAGAAGCTGTAATGTTGAGGGGAGCAGGGTGGGCTCCGCCTGCAGCTCACTCTGGTCCTGCTCATGCTGGGCGGGGGAGTGTGTGTGGGTGGAGGGCAGGGGGGGTGCTTGAAGAAGCTCAGCTGCTCACAAAGCCCTGATGGGCAGGCAGGGATAGACAGGAGGTAGGGAACAGCAGCAGGAGCACCGTGCACTTGGTGCAGCCCTGCTGGGCAGGCGTGTGAGAGAGAAAAGCAACAGGAGCAAGAGCCAGCACAGGCTCAGCTGCAGCCCCACCGGGCAGGTGTGGGAATGAGACTAAGAGAGCTGGTGATGCCAAGTGTGGCTCCCTGCCCCACCTCCTCTCTTGCAGGGGCATCTATTGCTGCCAGCCAGCGGCAGCTGCTTTCCTGCCCTTTGCAGCACACTGTGAACCAGGCAGGCAGCGCCCGTCCCCTTCTCCCTCTCCTTGCATGCAGAGGGGCTGGGCTCAGCCACATCTCAAAGAGCAGACATGGGAGAAGCCCCCCACATGAGCACGCCCAATCCACCCACAGCCCACACATGCACCCACCCCCCTCTATACCCACACACACACCCAACACCGTCCCACACACCCCACCATACACATCCCACACACATACACCCACACTCTGACCCCCACCTCACACATGCATACCCACACCCCACACACACCTATACCTCCCCATATATGCACCTACACCCCCTCACACATCCCACCCCCTCATCAAGCCCACACACGTCCAACAGTCCCACACACTTCACACTCCAACCAGACCTCACACGCATCCACATATACACCCCACTCTCACCATGCAGTCCCACACACCCCACACCTCAACCACACACACACATTGCATACCCACACATCCCTAACCACATCCTCCCCTATCTACACACACACACACACACACACACACACACACACACACACACACACACTATACAAGCAAACCCCCACCCCTAAAGGAGTACTTCCTGGACAAGGAGAGACTCCTAGTGGCAAAGATCAAGCGTTTGGGGGTGGGATGGCAACTAGGGGGCGGGGCACCTGTCATGGAGTAGGGATACCCTTGCAGCACTCCACGCCTCTCCAAAACTCATTAAACAGCTCTGCAGCCAAAACAGGCCCCGGTTTAGGTGGTTCTCAGCACAGTTGTGGCAGAAGGTAAATTTTGGCTTTAGCTTGCGTGGAGGGCAGGTAATAAATAACACTTAGCATTTCTGTATGCCCATAATACTAGGATCTTGCAGTGTTGTTATGCCTCTAATGAGGCAATAAAGTAGCATCCCACTCTTTACAAATGTATAAGCTTGAACCACAGAGGTTAAGTGGCTAAATTAAGGCCAGGCAGCAAGTTAGTAGCAAAATTAGGTAAGCAACTCCATTTTCTTGACTCATGCTCCTATCCTTGAATTTATAGGTCATGGTTGCTACCAGCATATTCATTAAGTGACACAGAGTAGATACATTTGGGTTTAATTGGGAATATTGATTGACGGGTGATATTTACAGCATCTGCTTTGTAGTACCTTCAGTGTTTATATTGCATGAATGAGCAATAAGTTGAAAAATGATCCAAGAAGCGGAAGAAATCTCCCCAAATAAATCAAGAATGTTACTTCAGTCTTTTTGTTAGACACCATGGATAAATGTTTTAACATCAATCACATTTTCCTCCCTTTACAACAGAAACTGGTGCTTTAGTAGCAGATAATACTGCATTTCAAACTGAATTTGTTAACCAAAATAAATGGAAATCATGCTTCTTTTCAGAGGACCTAAAAAGGCAAAATGCAGTACTACAAGCAGCACAAGATGATTTAGGACAACTGCGGACACAGCTAATGGAAGCCCAGGCTGAAATGGAGAACATCAAAGCTGTAGCTACAGTATCAGAAAATACAAAGCAGGAAGCTATTGATGAAGTAAAGAGACAATGGCAAGAAGAAGTGGCTTCACTACAAGCTGTTATGAAAGGTAAGGTGAAAGAAAGTTAGTGAACAAGATGCTACAAGATAGCTGTGCTTTGTACTTGGTGTTGTACAGAATGTAGGCAGATATACAGATCTTGCTTTGGGGCAGTTATGAACTAGAGTGACAACTTCAGTTTTAGCTAATCAATTCCAAGATGGTCAGAATCACCCTGGTCTGTCTTGAGGCTATACTGAGGTGCAGAGTAACTGGAACACTCTGCTAGGAAGTCTCTAGCATGTACTATGTATTCTTTAAGGACCGAGCTTGTGGTCTTCAGTTTTTCACAAAGAAAAACAAGTTCTGTGAGATCTGGCTGACGTGAAAGCAGTTTATAGCTGACAGTACGATTCTCTGCTTCTGTGTGCAGATTTGGCTTTGTTTCCAAGCCCTTAATTGTCCCTTCAGTGCCAACACATGGATTCTTCCCTGCCTTGTAACTAAATATGTCACTCTGCCACAGAATCTTATTCTTTTGCTGCAACAACCTGTACAATAGGTGACATTCTGGTGCACAGCACAATTACTGAGGTATTCTTGAGCCAAAATACCTACAAGAAGGAACACATAGACCTTTAAGACATAAAAGCCATTGTTTTAATTAACCTGACTGTATTACTAGCAGTGTTATATTAACTTATATTACATTATATTACCAGTATTATATTTAACTTATATTACATTTCAGGTTGACAGCATGATATCTGTAAATCAGCTTGAATAATGATAGTGGTTTTAAATTTCACACCAGCACAATCTACAATCATCTGCAAAGACTCAGTAGTTTTGTGATTCCATATCTTCCATTTCTGGAAGTATAATCTAATACTCTAAATATGTCACATAGACATTAATATATCTGTTTAAATTAAAATGATGCATGTATATGCTGACTTTCCTGTTTCTCTTGAGGTAGTAATACTTTGAAAACCAGTGTACTTACTCTGAGTACTTTCCATTGCTCCATAACGATACCCCTTTGCTAATTAAGGATCATTCTTTAAAGGGAGTTCCCTCTAAAGCAACCATTGGCAAAGAAGCTAGTGTGTATAATACAGACCCCAAGGTGGGAGGCAAAAAAATGGACTAAGCTTTTTCCAGTCTGGATACAAGGCTAAGATTTCTTTTGGTACTGTAGCTGAACAACAAATTGGTTTTAGGTGTTGCTTTTTAAGCAACACAGGTTACAGTTAAGTTTTTTTTTATTTATTTATTTTTTATTTAAATGTTTTCTTCTGGCTTGATATTTACTGATCATTTACTACCCCCACAGAAGTTTGCCAACAGGATGCTCTAGATAGCTCTTATACTTTTTCCGAAACTGATGGTAATGAGTACCTTTAAGGGTAAAAATAGAAAAGGTCAAGTGGAAGACATAGTTGGAGATTGTTTATAACTTGTATTGCAAATCACTGGTGGAAACATTGTTTTATAGAAACCGTTCGTGACTATGAGCTCCAGTTTCATCACAGACTGGAGCAAGAGCGAACTCAATGGAACCAATATCGGGAAAACATGGAAAGAGAAGTAGCAGAGTTGAGAAGGCGGCTGTCTGAGGGGCAAGAGGAGGAAAATCTAGAAAATGAAATGAAAAAGGTATGGTGAAATGTGTGAAGTGCTAACCCTATGTTAATATGTCTGATTTGTTTCTATAGTATCTTGCAAGCTGTTCCATACTTGTTCCATTGAAGTCAGATGTCATAAGTGTAAGCTTGCAGGTTCAGCTGGATGACTTGGATCTAAGTGATAAAGGTTTACAGGATTTGGCCTTCAGCTTTTAAAAGCAGGGCATTTTAAAGGATTTGTCTCTTTTATGAATTCAGAAGGTACCACATTGCAAAATGTTTTACTACAGCTTCAGGTCCTTTTCCTTAACATCTTCGTGGGGTTTTGGGGAGAGGCAGAAAAGGATCTTGGAGTCATTATTGATGCCAAAATGAACATGAGCCAACAGTGTGGGGACGCGGTCAGGAAGGCCAACTGCACCTTGTCATGCATCCACAGATGCGTCTCAAGCAGGGCCAAGGAGGTGATCCTCCCCCTCTATGCGACACTGGTCAGGCTGCAGTTGGAGTACTGCGTCCAGTTCTGGGCACCGCATTTCAGGAGGAATGTGGACAGCATGGAGAGGGTTCAGAGGAAGGCCACACACATGGCCAGGAGTCAGTAGGGCAGGCCCTACGAGGAGAGGCTAAGGGACCTGAACCTGTTCAGCCTTCGCAAGAGAAGGCTGAGGGGGAATCTACAGGCTGTTTACAAACTGGTTGGGTGGACCAGCAGGCATTGGGGGAGTCCATGTTCCCCTGAGCACTACTGGGAGTGACAAGCAATAACGGTCACAAGCTGGCAGAGGGTAGATTCAAGCTAGATATCAGGAGGAGCTACTTCACTGTCAGGGCGGCTAGGATCTGGAACCAACTTCCAAGAGAAGTGGTGCTGGCTCCTACCCTGGAGGGCTTTAAGAGGAGGCTGGATGGATCCCTTGCCAGGGTCATTTGACCCCAGTACTTTTTCCTGCCATGGCAGGGAGTCGGACTTGATGATCTGCTTAGGGCCCTTCCGACCCTAACAACTATGAACTATGAAACTATGAGTAGGAGGGGGAGGCATGTTTTTTTGTTTGTTTGTTTTTGTTTTGTATTAGCGATACTGAGATCTCAAGAAATGCATGGATCCTATTAGTCTGTGAATGCTTCTACTATGCTTTTAGGCTGTCACACTAGGTGTGTTGCATTTTTTGCCCTAAGTATTACTGTTGGCTTGCAAGGAAATGCAGACCTTTGAATTCAAAATTAGGACAAGTAGAAATCTGTGAGAAATGCTCAAATTTGTGGTAACTTCTCTCCTGCCATCTGAAAAGCTTTAAAAAATGATGTCAAAATTAGTTCAGAACCATCTTTTCCACCCCTTTTTCCCACCCATGTGCACACCCTAGATATTTATATTGTGTTTAGTACATAGGTTCAGTTTGTCAAAATATATCAATGATGTGTAAGCTTAAACACGTGTCAATGAAAATATATTGGGTGCCCATTCCAAAGGTAGAGAGGTAGTTAACTGTATTAGTCTGAAGTCAGTTAGAAGACAAGGTAGATATAGACCACATATATATATATAGAGAGAGAGAGAGAGAGAGAGAGAGAGAGAGAGATACAGGACAAACTATGTTCTTAAAATACCTTGAAGTCTGACACGTTTGAAGTGAAAGGCTAGGGTAGATGTGCACCTTCATAGACTAATACATGCACGCATGTATATGTGTGTATATATGTTAGTCTGTAAAGGTGCATATTTACCTTGACCTTTCACTCAAGGTATTTTAAGAACCTTATTTGTCCTATGTAACTTTTTTTAGATCAAATAAATATAAGGGGAAAATCTGCATAATATGAGTCTGTATGCCATTTATCTACTTCTATGAATCTGTGACTGAAACTTTCCTCTGCTGACAATACTCATATTTTAAAGCAAGCAGAGCAGGGAAAAGTGGCATCTTTGCCAGTTGCTATTACCTTGTGGCAAGACCACAGTATTGTAAATAGAAGAGTTTGGACTCTGAAACCAAAAGGTAGCCTGTGCAAGTCCATAGAATCCCATTGTTTTTAGCTAAATGCTTGATATTTCTGTTTCTGTTGGGGGTGCCTTAAATGTGGATGCCGTTTTATTTGAATAGTAAGTCCTGACAATTATAGATTGCCGTCTGAATAAAGCCTGCTTACCTGTGTTCTAGCTGTAAATGATCCATCCTGGTATCTTGCATCTTAAATTACAGGATTTGGCTAGATAAGAATCCATAGGTTTTGGCAAGTTAATGGAGATCGTAGGTGAAACCACTTCTTTGGAAGGAAGCCAACTGAGTCTCAAGTCTCAAATGTCTGAAGTTTCTGTTAAAAAATGTTAATTTAGTAAGGAATCTTTTTGTCATTACATAAATGTGGGCTGTCAAAGCTGTACTTCTTGTACATTTTATTTTAAAAACTGAAAATGAGCTACAAGCAAGACAAAAGGTCCAGGTGCTGGTGTGGTGGAATTCTTCATTCCAGTGCTGTTGAACTGAAGTTATGATTTGCTTATTTCATATCAGCATCTTAAGCAGTAGTATACCAGTACATTATGGTCATACTCAAAGTCTAATCAGGATTTGAGGTGAACATTGTGCAAACACAAATAAGGTGGCCCCTGCCCTGCACAGCATGCAACTTAAAATACTCTCCCACAGCATGCAGCATGTAAGTAAGCTAACAAACTCCTATAAACACAAATGTTCCCAGCATCTCCCCCTTAAAATAAAAACGAGATACAGGAAAGGCATTTTGCACTGTATTTCATCTTGTTGTAACAGGGCTTGAGCTTGCAGACTGCACCAAATAACAAACTAGAAAGTGGGCTACATCATCTTTGTATTCACATCCCTAGAATAGCAGATGAATATTGCAACTTTTGAAAACATGACTCTTTTAAAAAAAAATTTAAATCTGATCAAGATCCTAAAGAGGAGTCTATGAATTCTTGGAGGTTTTATGAAAGGAGTCTTCAAAGTGTAGATGAACCAAAGGAAGTGGGGAACTTGCATTCAAAGCGTCTTTTGTTTAGGACAGAGCTGTCCAGTTGACAGTGGTCAGTATATGTCCCACAGGGGGTTAAGTTATGGCCCTCCGGGCGTTACCTGGTGGATGTTTTTACTCTTTTCCCCCATCGCTCTAACTGCAACAGCAGCCAGAGTCTCCCTCTCCCACCTCTGACGGATGCTTCTTGCTCCACCTCCAGAGGACAGGGCAGTGCAGTGTGGGAGCTGAGGGGTTCACAGGCATATATGCTTTTAATTAACCTGCTAAGTATCATTTTCCCCCCCCCATACTTTTTTTTGGAGTAACTGGTGGTACCGGGCAGGTAATATTTTGATTTAGCTTTCTCTTCTGAGCTATACTTGATCAACACTGCCCCACAAAAGGTATCCAAGTCTCCTCTATGAATCTGTATTTTGGCACTTTGAGGTGATTTTTTTTGTCTGATGGAATATGTCTGGGAATTACTGTTTAGGAATAGCTATTGTGCTTTCCCATGCATTTTTTTTAAGTTTGGAGACTGACATTTCTATAGAAAGTTTCTGGATCCTGTCATCTTTACAGAGCAACAATTCCCAGAAAAAATGGGTGTAATCTTTGAGAATCAAAAATGGCAAGTGATGCTTTTTAACACTGCCAAAGAAATTTACCTGGTTTTCATGTTTTAAGCTAATTTGTTGACAATATTTCATAGATTTCATAGACATTAGGGCTGGAAGGGACCTCGGAAGATCATTGAGTCCAGCCCCCTGCCCAAGGGACAGGAAGTCAACTTGGGTCAAAGGATCCCAAGAAGATAAGTGTTCAAATGTTTCTTAAAAGGGTCCAGAGTAGGTGCTTGCACCACCTCTGGACGGAGTCTATTCCAGGTCTTGGGAGCTTGGACAGTAAAGAAGTTTTTCCTTATATCCAGCCTAAAATGGTCTTGGAGGAGTTTGTGACCGTTGGACCTTGTCATCCCTTGGGGTGCTCTGATGAACAGGCGTTCCCTCAGATCCTGATGTACACCCCTGATGTACTTATAGGCTGCCACCAGGTCACCCCTGAGCTTGCGTTTGTGCAGCCTGAAGAATCCCATGGCGCTCAGCCTCTTTTTATAAGGCCTGTTCTCTTGCCCTCTGACAATGTGTGTGGCTCTCCTCAGGACTCTCTCAAGCTTCTCCACATCCTTCTTGAATTGTGGAGCCCAGAATTGGATGCAGTTACTCCAGCTGCAGCCTCACCAAGGCTGAGTACAGAGGGAGGATGACATCCTGAGATTCGCTTGAGAAGCATCTATGGATGCAAGCCAGAGTTTTGTTCGCTTTACCATCTGTGACATCGCGTTGGTGGCTCATGTTCATCTTGTGGTCAGTCATGACCCCCAAGTCCCTTTCGGCTGTGGTGCTAGTGAGCGTAGCACTGCCAAGCCTATAAGCATGCTGCGGGGGGGGTGGTTTCCCCTGAGGTGAAGTACCTTGCATTTTTCTGTATTGAATGTCATCAGGTTTTTATCCGCCCACTTTCTAAGCCTGTCAAGGTCAACCTAGATCACCAGCCTATCCTTGGGTGTGGATGCTCTACCCCAAAGTTTGGTGTCATCAGCAAACTTGGCCAGTCCACTTCTAACACCAGTGGTCCACAGTGCTAATAAAGATGTTAAAGAGTACAGGTCCAAGAACAAAGCCTTGGGGGACACCACTGGTCATGGAGCACCATGATGATTCACTTCTGTTGACTACCACTCTCTGGGTCTGACCTCGAATCCAATTCCCTAGCCATTGGACTGTGATGTAGCTGAGGCCTCAGTTGGCCAATTTTTCCATGAGGAGATTGTGGGACACCGGGTCAAAGGCTTTTTTAAAGTCCAGATATATGACGTGAATCTCTTCTCCCTTGTCTGGGTGATATGTCACCTGGTCATAGAAGAAAATGAGATTGGTCAGGCAAGACATATCCTCAACAAACCCATGCTGGCTATCCCTCAGGATGTTGCTATCAGTCAGCTTGTCAAGAATGGTCTCTTTGATAATTTTTTCCAAAATCTGTCCAGGGATTGAGGTCAAGCTGATTGGC